TGCGGGGACCACGGATCCTATGACTGTATTGCATATGCAAAGGAGGGATCTCCTAACGGCTGCTGAGCACATGAACTTTCGCGGGCGGTTGTGCAGTGACGGCTTAGGCCCAACTGTGATCACACAAAGCGTGGTCAACAGCTTGTCAGTTGTCTCATCTATGTACGAAAACCCGGCCAAAAGGGCGCGAACCCAGCTTGCAGTGCTTGACGGAAGCCCGGCCTGTGACCTGCATGTGCCTTTGATGCTGAGTGAACCTGTTCATTGGGACATGTCAAGGGATGTTGAGGGTTGGATTGTGTTGTCTGTTGAACGGCATTCTACTGTTGCGGATGTCCTTCATAGCTTGGTGCCAGCTGTCTCCTTGGCATATCAGGTGGTAGACTCGTGTGGCGTTCTGCAGGCTTGGGATGCTCCAGTGTCGCCTGCCAGTGTCTTGCGCCTTTGGCCGTTTAAGCCTGGAGCTGGTGCCATGGGGCGGTTGCGACAGCCCTGCAATGGTCCGTGCCTCTCCTTTCCTTGTGATGTCACTCCTTTCTTGCGGACTTACATTGAGTCGTCACGCAGGAAGGCCATTCTTAACTGCCAGGGGCCATGGCTGGCGGATGACCAGATGGCTTTTGGGTTGAGGTCTATTGCAGCCTCTGTTCCTTTTGGGTGCCAGGTTGTTGACCCTTTGATGCTCATGGCGGCCGTCCAGCATGAGAGCCCGAGTATGCTTCAACTCTACGTGCCACCTGCAGGCGGTGCATTGCAGGTCATCTCGGCAGGTGTCTTCGGTGGGCAGTGGGTTACCTTCTTTTGGCGTTGCTCCCTGGGCAGTGTTGATGCTTGGGATAGCTCCACTATACATGCACTTGGTGATGTTGTGGCCAGGGTGCATTGGTTGGTTGCCCGTTGTCTTGAAATTCCGCTGTCTGGCTTTGCCTTCTTTGGTGCCCCTATGCGGGAGCCTATTGAGGGTATGTGTGGCCACTTTGCCCTTGCGGACTTGGACGCAAGGCTTAATGCTACACCATATCCGGATGCCAGTCTTGCAGTGGCAGTTGCGGCTTGCTTAGTGGCTGCGTTTGAGCTATACATGTTGCAGGATACCTTGTTGCGGGCACCTGTTATCTTTGGCGGTGGTGCTTCACACCTTGTTGAGGCTGGCCTGGCGTCCTTGCTGCGTGAGCGGGGTGTCCCGGAGTCCACGGCTGGTGCCCGAGCTGGTGAGGCGATCAAGCGCTTGGGAGTTGGGGCGATTCAGTCAGCCATGCAGGGCCAGCAGCCTTGGCGGCAACTTAAGCAGTTGGCTACCAATGCTACGCCGCCCTTCCAATGGGTATTGCCAACGGAGCTTGAGGCCCACATCAAGCATAAGGCTTCGAACGGCGTTGTTGTTGGGGGTCGCCGCGCTGTGAAGAAGCAAGTGTCGGCCAAGTCTGCATCATTCCAGGTTGCCGCGCCTTCTCCTGACCGGGGGGTTGTGCCTCATGGGGTTTTCTGCCAGGATGCATTGCCGTTAGGACAACTCAGCCTTGACCAGGTCGGCCCTGATAGTGCCGGAATTATCATCGCCAGTCCGGCGGAGGCTGGTCCGTATCTCCGCTTGACGAAGCCGGTATCGACCCAGGCGCTTGGTCTCAGTGTTCTCGGTGACTTGGACCTCTCCAGTGCTACTGTCGCCAACTCTGTTGTTCGTTTTCGAGCGGAATGTGTGGCGAGCGGCCAGCCAATCTTGTTGACAGGAACCCTATTGCAGGTTGGTAATGTATGGGTTCAAAAGGTGCAGCCCAAAGCGATTGACCTGGAGTTGGTGCCTTCTGCAGTTGTTAGGGTTGCGGTGTTTAGGGATCAGTGGCCAGGTGATTGGGATGCGTTCCTGCCCAGTCCGTTGAAGGCTATTGTGAGCCGTGTCCCTTTGTTGCAGACCTGTCACACGGCAGGGTGTGATTGTGTTGGTTGGCATGGGGTTGCTGCACCTGGCGTGCCGGAGGCCATACTTGAGGCGTGGGGGAGACAGTTTTGCTCCTTACAGTACAAGCAGTCGCGCCCGGCATCGGCTGCCGTCTTCTCAGTCTTTTTGCGTGTGCCTGAGGTGCTTGAGCCTAGATTGCAACAGTTCTCCGGGGTCTGTGGCGTCTATGTGGAGCCCAGAGGTAGTGAGGCTAGGGTTGTTTCTTCTAAGTACTCGGTGCTCTGGGTCCCGAAGGCCACTCACCAGGATGCCTTGCTGCTGAAACAGACCCATGCGCAGGTTGTTGGGCTTGCACGTGTCTCGAATCGGTTTGGAGTCCGCTGTCTACGAGATGACGAGGAGTGCCTCCACAAAGCACTCCGCCCTGAGGCGCCCTACTTGGGAAAGGACGGGTTGCGCCGATACCATGTTGTTCCTTTTCCATTTGGCACTCAGAGAGCGGCTATTCATAAGGTCTTTGTGTCTATCCCTTGGACGGCGAGGCCTATCCAGCCTGTTCCAGGTTCTTCTGGTGGTGGTGTGTGGTGGGCAGTGCAGGCATCTGAAGCCCCGCCTGATAAAGTTGTCCATACGCAACATGGGGAGCTTCTTATCTGTGACCAAGCCTCTCGTGAATCATTGCGTCAGCCTGTTGTCCCTAAGGCCGGCCAAGTTGTTGCTCCGCGTGACGTGCTGCGAACCTTTGCTGCTCCGTCCCAACCAGTTGCCAAGGACCCGCTCCAGGATAATGACCCTTGGTTGCAAGCACTCCACCCTCCAGGACAAACTGTTCGCGCGGTGCCGAATGACCAGGTCCAATCACTTTCTTCGCAAGTCGAGAGCAAGGTTCTTGCCAGGGTTCGTTCGTCCTCCTCCAATGAAGCATCCGTCAATCGCATTTCCGATCAAGTTGAAGCGAGAATCATGGCCAAAGTGGACGAACGTCTGCAGGCTGTAACTGTCAATATCGGTGGAAGGGTTCAGAATCTTGAGCACCAGGTTGATGGTCTGCAAACGAGGGTTGCCGATCAAGAGGCGACTCTGCGGTCGCTCTTTGATCAACAGATGACGCGTATTGAAGAACTTATGGGCCAATCCAAACGTCCGCGTCAGGATGCCTCGTGACTAGTCGTGCTGGCTTGTGGTGCTTCTGGGTGTTTTGTGGTGGCCTATTGTGGCCGTTGTGAGCGTGCATATCAAGTTAATGTTGTGTGCACTCTGGCACCGTGGCGTGGGGCGCGCCATGCTTCTTTAGTTCTCGCCTACAAGGCGTTCCGATTTGGGGAGGCCCTTCATCCAGGACCTTGTCATGCTCCGGGTGAATTTTGCCTAGGGACCTTCAATCCGACAGGATTGAATGGAAAGCATAGTTTCTTTTCTGACCTTCCTTTGGGTGTTCATGCTGTAACGGAGACGCATCTATCCCTCCGTGGTTTGAGTGCCTTCAGGAAAGGCTTGAGATTGGCCAAAAGCGCCTTCAGTTTTGTTGCTGGGGCTCCAGCCCCTCTTAGAGCCCGCAGTTCCACGGCTGGCACCTACACTGGTGTTGGCTTCCTCAGTTCTGTTCCGACCCGCACTGTTCCTCATTCGTGGCCTTCTGTGCTCTTCTCCACAGGCCGGCTCCAGGTTGCTGCGTTCTTCATGCATGCCTTTTGGGTGTTGGGAGGTGTTGCGTATGGATTTGCGACTGGCTGTGATCGTACTGAGTTCCTCCTCGAGGGGCTTACCCAGCGTGTTGTCTTGGATGGCACTGGACCCCGTTTCATTGCGGGAGATTGGAACCTGGAAATTCACCAACTCCAACATGCGAATTTGTGGCGTGAACGGGGGTTTGTTGAGGTGCAAGACCTCCAGTTTCGAGTTGCTGGCACTCCTCCTCTGCCGACGTGCCATGCTAAGACGCGAAAGGACTTCCTGTTCGTATCACCCGAGTTGCAGGCCATGTACCTTGGCACCACTGTTGTCGAGGACCGATTCCCGGATCATGCTGCCATCTTTTCACGGTTTCGGGCCGCTGTTGACCACATACCGCGGTGTTATTGGCGAATGCCGCAACGTCGGCCAGCATCGTGCTTGCCACATTCAGTCCAAGAGGAGCCGTATCGACCGCTGCAGGCGCGAAGCTTAGATGACCGATACACGGAAATCTTTGCGCGGTACGAGGCTAGATTGAGTCAAGCACTTGTTTCGAAGGGGTCCCCGCCACTCCGGCGTTCTGAGTGCGGACGCGCCTCTACCAAGGATGTGGCGGTGCAGCGAGTCCAAGTCACGCCCATAGCGGCTGCTAGGCATGGGGAGGCTAGCCCAGCTTACCACGGTGCATCTCAGAGGTACGCCTTATGGTACCGCCAACTGCGGCGGTTGCAGGCCTATGTGCAGGCCATACGCAAGGGTTCCACGACGCTTGATGCCATTGAGTACAGGGCCGGCCTTTGGAATGCGGTGCTTAACGCCCGGGGTTTCGAGACTGCATTTCGTGTCTGGTACTTGCAACGCCAGGTTACTTTGCTCGGGGACCCCCCTTTTGTCCCTGAGAGGCCTCCGGACCTTCAAGTGGCACAGGGTTTGTTTGTGTGTTTCCAGGCCAATGTGCACTCCTTTGAAAAGCACCTTAGTCGTTCGCGCCAAGCCGGTGCCGCCCACAGACGACAGCTCGATCCGCAGGTGATCTTCAGGGACCTTCAGTCTGAGGGTAGCCGCCCGGTTGAAACGCTTCTGTCGACTGTTGTGGCTCCGGTTGAGGAGGTTGACCTGGACGAGAGTGCCATTGTTTTGAGCACTGAGGTGTCGTGGGACCCAACCTTGCCCTTCACTTGTGACAAGTGCTGGAAGGCCCTTGGACGTTGTGCATGCTGAGGCTGATAAGATTTGGGTTGCAGATGCTCAGCACATTGCTGTTGGTCAGCTCGTTGAACAGCATCGCTTGTTGGGGAGCCTTACACAACTCTTTCGAGCGTTTGCTGATGAGTGGGCTAACCGCTGGCACCGGCATTGTTGCACTCCTGCTAGCCGCTGGGATCGGGTTTTGGAGTCGCTTGATGCGTTGCCGAGAGTGTCGCCCATGACCTTGGAGCCTTTGACACATGAGGTTTGGCACAAAGCCGTTCGCCAGAAAAAGCCCCGTACTAGCCCGGGCTTGGATGGTGTAGGTCGTGAAGACCTCCTGTTGCTACCGTGGGACCTGACACAGCACGTGTTGGAGCTCATTGAGCATGCGGAATGCACCGGGGAGTGGCCCTGTCAGGCCCTGGATGGTGTAGTGAGTTCCATCGAAAAGGTTGTTGGCGCCACGTCTGTCGACCAGTTTCGACCGATTACCATTCTTTCCATGGTATATAGGGTTTGGAGTTCTATCCGCGCCAGGCAGTGCTTGCAGCACCTTGCGGCTGTTGGTCACCATGCGGTGCATGGCAACATGCCGGGGCGCACAGTTGGGTCCATTGTTTATGCCATCCAATTCGCAGCCGAGTGTGCTTTCTTGGATGATGTGTCTTTGTGCGGACTCACGGCGGACTTGGTTAAAGCTTTTAACTTGTTGCCGCGCCCTCCAATCTTTGCCCTTGCGGCCCGCATGGGTATTCCAACACCCGTCATCAAGGCATGGTCAGGGGCGGTGGTCCGCCTACAGAGGCGCTTCCGCATACGTGATTCGGTTGGGCCGGCCATGGTGGCCTTCACGGGATTTGCTGAAGGTGACGCCATGAGCTGCGTTGCCATGTCCCTTGTCGTGCATGCTTTACACATGTCGCTTGACCGCCTGGCGCCGGCCGCCCAGACACAAAGTTACGTCGATAATTGGATGGCCACGGCCCCTACAGCGCCGGACCTGTTGGTAGCAGCAAGGGCCATTGACAGTTTTGCGGACGATTGGGATCTGCAACTTGACCCCAAGAAAACCCGGGTTTGGGCGACTACAGCGAGGGAACGACAACACCTTCGCGCTGAGGGCCTTACTGTGGTCCACGCGATGCGAGACCTTGGCGCTCATCTCCAATTCTCCTTACGGCGTTCCAACTCGACCCAAGTTGAACGAATCCGTGCCATGGATCCCTTGTGGAGCCGGCTCGCTGCGTCCTTTGCCCCCTACTGCCAGAAGGTGCGCGCCGTAGGTGTGGCTGCGTGGCCCAGGGCGCTTCACTCAGTCGCCCTGGTTCAGCTTGGACCCAGACACTTTGATGGCCTTCGTGCGGGAGCCATGCGCGGTTTGGGAGCGAAAGCACCAGGGGCCAACCCCCTGATCCATTTGGGCTGGATTGAGAATCCCAGATGCGATCCTGAGTTCTACGCTTTGCTGCAGTCCTTCCTGAGTGTGCGTGCCTTTTGCTCTCAAGATCAGGCGGCAGGGCCACTGCAGGCCATTGTTGAGCGTGAGCCTAAACATTCGCCAGGGCCTATTGGGGTTCTGTTGCAACGGGCTAATGCTGTGGGCATTGCGTGGAGCGTCCATGACGCTTCTTTCCAGGATTCACTAGGCTTCCTTTGCCCCTGGACGTCTCCACTGCACGAGTTGCATTTGCGCATTGAGTGGGCGTGGGAACAAGCGGTTGCGAGCTGTGTGAAACAAAGGGCTGATTTTCAATTTGCGTGTGATGCCGATCCTGGCTACACCCGCAGGGTTATGCAGCATCGTTGTCCTGGGGATAAGGCTTTCCTTCGGGTTGTTTTGGGTGGTTCCTTTTTCACTGAGGACAAGTTGTACCACGTGGGCCAGAACGATTCCCAAGCCTGTCGAGCTTGCGGTCTTAAGGATGGCGTGGTCCATAGGCTGTTTGAGTGTCCGCACTTTGAGGACTGCCGCCCAGCCTCTTCGAGGCTGCAGGAACTCAAGTCTCTCTCTGTGACTCAGGTGACATACGGATGGGCCTGCCGATCTGATAAGCTTGAGGAATTGCGTAGGGCCTTATTGGCCTTGCCTGATACCACAGGGTTTTTCGCCACCTTCCCTGATAGGTTCGAGTATGACATCTTCACTGATGGATCTGCGGCTTGTGGCAATGACCCCTACTTGCGTCACGCAGCGTGGGCTGTGGTGATTGCTCACAGTGACTTCCGTGAGGCAAGCCTTTTGGCGTCCGGAGTGGTGCCAGGCCTGATGCAGACTAGTTTCCGAGCTGAAGTTCTAGCAGTTGCGGCTGCTCTGCGCTTTGCGGTACATGCTCGGCGACCCATCCGCATTTGGTGTGACTGCCAGAGCGTGGTGCAGCGGCTTCGCCGTATCCTTGAAGGTGATCGGGGCCTTGATGCAGCGCAACGCCATGGCGAGCTGTGGGGATTAGTTGAAGAGCTAGTTGATCAGTAGGCCTCGCCGGTCACTGTGTGCAAAGTTCGAGCCCATGGACAAGACGCTGAGGACGGTGATGTGGCGGATGAGTGGGCGAAGTTCTACAATGATGCAGTTGATTTGGAGGCTAAGCGTGCAAACCTCCAGCGCTCCGATGAGTTTTGGAACTTGTGGGACGGGGTGCGGCGTCATTACAACCGCCAACACATCCTGGTTTCAGCCCTCCATGAACTGCACTTGAAGGTTGCCCACAAGGCGACTAGCACCTTGGTGCCTCGCTCTCAGCAGGAAGTTTCTGTGCCATTGGTGGTGGCCCCGTGTATGCCGCCTTGGCCCCCGCTGCAGGATGAGTCACGGCTCCGCTTCGCTAACAGATTTGGTTCTGAGTATGCCGGGGCACTAGGACGATGGGTGCAGCTCATCTTTGGAGATCCTCAGTTCGAGGGTGAGCCTCGCTACATTTCCTTCCTCCAGTTGTACTGCGACTTCGCTATGACATTTGGTTGGGAGCCGCCAGTGCTTGATCAGGCCTCTAAGTCGTGGATTTTGGTTTCCCAGCTCCGCATGGGTTCGCTTGTGCAGCATGCCTTGGCCAAGAAGGTTAGGTGGTTCGCGCAGCAACTGAGATTCTTTGCACGTCTGGCTGGTATCGGCAATTGGCATCGTGAAGTGAGGCCTGCGTCGACCGTGCTACTGAACAAGATGTTGGCCATCCCGGTTCGGGTTCGACAGGATCGCATTGACGTCGTGGAGGCGCACCTCATCCAGGAGGCGGCGAGACACGGTCGTTCGAAGCAGGGTTGGAGATCCTTTCGAGTGCCCTCCCAAAGGGAGGAGCTGGGGCTCTAGGCCCTTTAGTTTGAGGCGCTTCCGCCTTGTGCCGAGGCGCTTACTGACATACAAAGGGATACAAAGGGTTTCGGGTTTTATGGGTCATGTCCCGTATGCTTTATAGTTTTCGGCTTGCTACTTCACCCCACTTACCCCAAAACCCGAGCCCGAAACCCTAAACCTAGAGGTTACCCTGTAGCTCCCGTACTTGGAGGGGCAGGGGACTTAGTAAGTAGAGTATAAGTAGAGTTATAATATTACCCGAAATGGAGTTACCCCAATTATAACCCTACTTATTAACGACTTACTCAGCCCCCTGCCCCTCCAAGTAGGAAGCTGGACCTCTAAGCAGCACTATAATATTCACCCCAAGGCCCTACTCCAAGTATTCAGGCCCGTCGTTACGGTAATGAGGTTCCTTTTTCAAGGCTTCCCATAAAGGGAACTCCAGAAAGTTGGAATATGGATTCATGGTAGGATCCCCTATAATTTACCTTAAAGGGGTTACGATAATGATATTCCAACTTTCTGGCTTCTACTGTAAAGGAACCCGAGAGTTTATAGAACCTTGAAGGGAACACTAAAAGGAATCGAGAAAGGCATCTCTGAAAGGATCCCGAAAAAGAGCCCCCCAAAGAAATCCTAAACAGGAACCCCAAGGAAGGAAGCCTCTGACCCTAAAACCCTAAAACCCTAAACCCCCAAACCCCTGAACCCTCAAAGTCGTCAAATCCTAACCCTGCACCCCTAAACCCCGAAGAACCAAAACCCAGAGGCATCCCCCAGACTTTGGTCCCTTAAAATCTTCCCCAAAGAGCTAAACCCACAAAACCCTAAATTATTGTGAGCCTCATAATGGATGCCCTTATTTGGTAACCGGTAGCCCTTAACGGAACCCCTAAAGGAACCCTTAAAGGGCTAGCACCGTGGTCACTATCATGATACCCCTCAGCAAGAGCAAGCAGAGTGCCAGTGCCTTGCTCGGTTCCCAATGAGAGTTTGATGAGGTGTTCTTATAGGATCCTTAAGGGGGGGGGTGGTTCAAGGGGGGAAGATACAAGGAACCCTTACGGGAACCTTAGGGAGTACTAGGGAGAGTTAGGGATCACTAGGCTATATACCCCCCTTGGAGCCCCCCTCCCTTAAGGATACTATAAATGTTCACTTCAGATTCAGACGACTAGCCTTCCGAACAACTTTGTCCCCACCTCTCCAAGCTTGGCCGGATGAGCCTGCTTGCCGTGTATCGGTGCCAGGCTCATGGCGGTCAGAAGCCCAGAGAGCCCAATAACCCTTAATTAAGCAATATGCCTTAAATGTTAATGTGCTTCATATTAAGATTTAAACTATATTCCGTAGTTAAGGGGTATTCGGCTCTCTGGGAGGCTCTCGAGAATGCCACTTCCTCCGACAGCAAAGCTCAGGAACTGATCGGGGAGCTTGATCGGCAACTACTCAAAGGGCAAGGGAAATCCTGGTGGATTTGCCAGAGCCCTTCGCCATACCCCTGACCAGCATGTATGCTTCGAACATAGCTCAGATCGACGGCATTTTGGGCGAGGACTTCAGGAACAAGAGCATGCCTTTTGCTCCGCAGCGGTTTGTCACGATTCTCCAGGTTCTCCGAATCCATCATTTACAACCTCGAAGCAGTTTTCTGCATGTTAACAGAGATCCGGATCAAAGCCCTAAAGCATAAATCACTGTGGCCATTATAGTCATCCTCATGATGGATACCCTTATTATGGTAGCCCTTATTATAGAACCCCTGAAGGAGCCCTTAAAGAGCCCAAAACCCTAAAGATCCAGATCAAACCCCCTCATAACGGATGCCCTTATTGTGGTAGCCCTTATAATAGAACCCCTGAAGGAGCCCTTTAAGAGCCCAGAACCCTAAAACCCGAACTATCCAGGCCACCAGCAGGAGCGAAGGGGTGCCTCGCCTTGCATTCAGCGACATGTTTTGTTTGAGGCGAAGGCTTCGGCTCTATGAGGTTTTAGAGCTTTAGGGGTTTAGGGCTTTAGAGCTTTAGGGCTTTAGGGCTTTAGGGTCTAGGGTTTAGGGTTTTGGGGTTTTGGGTTTCGGGGTTAACTAGGGGTTCAGGGTGCGGGTGGAGTTTTCGAGGCTTTGGGGTTTCAGGCGTAGGATTTTGGAGTCTAGGATATAGGGTGTAGGTTCTCTACGGTTCAGGGTGTAGGGTTTAGCCTGTAGTGTTCAGGGTCTAACCGGTAAACAACGAGTCCCATGGATGCCGGACGAGATTGCTATGGCCATCCCTGCAGAAGAAGATGCTAAAGATGATCCACGCATTTTGGAATGACGTGGGGCCATGATCAAGGAGACTGGTTAGCAGAATCGTGTCATTACTCTCAGGTGTGACAATGAACCTTTTGCTTGCGTTTGGAAATCACCTAGTTTCGAAGAGTAAACAGCTTGGTGTTCAGAGGGGTTGATCCGGTGCCGGCATATCAACCTCAAGCCACGGGTGGTGTGGAGAGGCAAGTCGCCGTGGTTCAGCAAGCCCCTGGCGTCAGATATGACTCGTACGGGACATGAAGCGTAGCCGTTGAAGTTACCCCTATGAGGGCTCCGGTGGAGCATGTGTTTGCTGTATGTGCAAGTATCTCCCTTTGAAAGCATAGGATTCCCTAAGAACCCTGTTTAATGATCAGGGTTTCCGAACCTTTGCTAAACGTTATGAAGATCCAGATAAACGCCTTATAAAAGCCTTATTCAACCATTTAAGGTCCGCGCCATCAGCTTTGTAAACCCCTTATAGTAACCCCTATACCTCCTTTCCTCTGAGGCGGATCAGCCGCATTTCCACGACGGCCGCGGACTTGTACGACCTGGCAAACCCCCAGGACGCTCAAGAGGCCAGGATCTCATAGATCATAGAACAACCGGGTTCCTACAATCATGTTATGTCAAAATACCAAGAGGCCAAGAGGCATGGTAGTTACTAGGGTAATGTTTTAAGACGAGTAGAAATAAGGGGAATAGGTTGTTAAGGCCTGTCTATTAGGGTGCTACAGAGGGCCCTTTCACAGGCTTTAGAGTTTTAGGGCTTGGGGCTTCAGAGTTTTGGGCTATAGAGCTTACCGGCTACCGTTTACCCTTGTTTAGTGCCTCATCTGCTGTAACTATTGGTAGTTTTTGGTTAGCAGTGTAGTTCTACTGTTTCTTGGTGTGTGCTTCTGCGTGAGGATCGGATCTCGAACGGCATGTTGCGTAACTTCTACCGTTTCCCAAAGTGAATGGTGTCATCTCGCAAGGGGTCTGGCTTTACGCCACAGTTCACGCTGAAGAGGGCCTTCAGTGTTCTTCTGGAGCTTTGCAGCCTTTTGTTGGGGATAAAGCTTCGGTTACAACGCCTGTTCTGAGGTAACTTTAGTCGTTGACGGGTCCAGGTATCTCCTTAGGAGCGTCCGGAATGTCCTAGGGAGAGTCCTTGGGTCTCTCTGGGGTCTCAAAAAACCCTCAAGTTTGAGGTTCCCCAATTTGAGAACAGGTTTATGCTTAGGGTGAAGCGGCCTGGTCATACCGGTTTTGGCTTATTTTTTTTCTGTGCTTGCAGCCTTCATCTTACTAGGTCTCCCAGCGTGCCCTCTTTCACTTTTTGGTGTAGTCTTCAGTGCCTTACAAGAAGGGAGCCCTTTTTGATCCTAATAAGGTATCGGGAATCCTAGTATATATAGGTTTTTCAGGCAGAGGTTCTTGAGGTTTACAGTCCAAAGGACACACCGATAAAGTACTCGAGTTTAGGATGGTAGTTATGTAGGTGAATATTTAAGATGGCCTATGATTATTACGTATTTGAACTCTTAGAGGTATTGGTGTTATACCCTTGTTGTCGGGGTCCTCATTCTCAGGCTACACAATATCATACATTAGTAATCCGAAATACCTTTCGGCAAAATAGCTTTAGAGTTGGTAGGTTCTTTGGGGTAGGATCTGCTCTTCAAGAAAACAAAGCGTAGTCCCAAAGGATGCCCCGTTTAACCTGAAGTGGACTCCACGGCTCAACATAGCCGAAAAGCCCCCACAAACGTAGTCTTCCAGCTCCCAAGAGCTTCACATATGGATGATTCACCAAATTAGGGTGCTTCTTAGGCCCCCAAAATTGTACGGCATTCTTACAGAGAGGACCCCCAAAGGGACCCTGTAACTCATAGAACTACACATATAGTTCAGCAGTAGCGGAGGGTGAGTTAGAAGTGCTTCCATCCGCAGCTCCATTACACAGGGTCATGGGACCTGGTAAGTATGTTTCACAACAGGGCTTATAGCTTCTTTGAAAAATAGAGTTAAGTTAAAGTGTTGAAGACCTGAGGTAAGAAGTCATAATATCCTGAAGTACAGTCCCTGAACCCTCCAAGACCACCCAAAACAGCGCTTGGAGGCGAGCTCTCCTTTCCAATTCAAGCACCAAAAGCCTGGCTTACTAAGTATCCTGGTGCACCATCCCTAAACTCCAAGTATCTGGACTTCGGAGTATCATACTTTAATATTTTTTGTTTCAAAGGAACCATTATGAAATACGACTTTGTACTTTTTTCTCTTTGATTGCTTACAAGCCCAGGTACAGTATACAACTATCTTAGTGCCTACTCTGGGCATTGTGCCTCGGCCAGTCTCCGAAGATTCCGAGCCCTCACATGGCCAAGAAAGCCCACTGAACAGGACACGGGTTGAGGGCTTAGGCTTTAGGGTTGAGGGTTTGCTTAGGGTTTAGGGCTTGGTTCTTGTGGTTTCATAATCCCCTAAGCCCTTAACCTTAAGCCCTCAATAGACCGACTGTACTGTTTTAAGGGTTTGGTCCGTGAGCAGCGGAGCCAGAAACCCTGGTAGGTTTTGTAGGGTTGCAGGTAGGTCTTTGTCTTGTAGAGAGCTCCGGGGTTTGAGGGTTTTAGGATGTGTGAGTTTCGGCTTGGTGTTTTTGGCTTATGGCTTTGATGAAGGGGGCCTTCCAGGGAGTTCAGTATTTGATGTGGTTTTGCGTTTTTTGCATCTCAGGATGAGGGTTTCAGGTAAGGAAATCAGGCTGATGGGTACCGGCATGGATGGATCACATCGAAAAGTCAGAGCCTGCCCAAAGAATTCAGGTTTGAGGCTTTGTTGGGGCCGAGTGCCCAAACACCCTAAAGGGAACTCCAGAAAGTTGGAATATGGTTTCAGGGTAGGATACCTTATAATTTACCATAAAAGGCTTAGGATAATCATATTCCAACTTTCTGGCGTTTACTTTAAAGGGTCCAAGTAGTCCTTGTTTATGATTGTTCGTCCGTGAAACTCTAGGGTTCCACGGCAGGGAGGACATGGCCACAAGTACTAGGATGCCCAGTAGTACCCTTATTCCCTTTTTGTAGTCCTAGGTTCCTTATAAAGTTACCCAATACCAAAAAGAGAGGCCTTTTTATTCTTAGGTTACTGGGTATCCTAGTATGAGGACCACAAGAACACGAGGTTCCATACATGTACTATAGGGGCCGTAATAGTTGCCAATACTGCTTTGAGGGTTCCTTACTATAAGTATCGTATAGTATACCACAAAACCCTATTCTCATTATTAAGGCCCCTATATTATATAAAAAACCCTACTCTAGAACCCTTATAGACCCTGTTAAAAGATCCCTCTCTAAAGGAACCCTATTCTAATTATTAAGGCCCCTATAGTGAAAAGCTAGAGCAAGAATCATTGAGCCCATAAGCTTTTTTTGACCTGCGAGCCTACCCAGGACCCCAATGGCCGTTTTAATGGAACCGTTATGGTCCTTAACAGTGGTCTTTAGGTTATATTCGAGGGTAGTTTGGGGTCTAAGACATGTGTAAATCTTAGTCAGCATCCTGTGAGGATCGTTCTTGCCTGGAGGGTCCAAGTGCCGAATAATGTCGAATAATTATTTCCTCCCCCAGTATTCACCTACTCAACCCAAGCACACAATCCTTAAGTAGGTGGGACCCTTAGGACAACTTTGGCTTGCAATTATTGGTCACGAGGTGCCCACCTGGGGATCCAAGAATCTACCGTTTTAGGGATTCTACCCTCTAATTAAGGGGTCATGACCTACTATTCGTAGGGTTTGAGGATACAGTCCTAATTGAATCAGAAGGACGCTCGCTCGATTTACGAAGCCCCTGGCATACGGGTGGTTGTCAAAAGTGTGGTCTCTTTTTGGGTCCCGACTATACTACGACACCCAATATTTAGGGTACCCAAAAACGGCCATCATTTTGACAACTACTCATATAAACCCCCGAAGCCCGAAAACCCAATCGTAAACCCACTGAATCCTAGTTCATCTTCACCCTAAATCGTGAAGCTTGAATCCCAAACTCTGTATAAGTTCTAGACACCAGCCTAAGTCCCCTTACCAAATCCGTACCAAATCCCTGACCCCACCAGCCATCCCAACGACCTCGTTCCAGGAAGCCAAACCGCTTGAATGCGACGTGGCATAACGCTTTGACTGTGAAATCAATCTCCCCAGGAGAAGGTTCAGGATTGCACTATAACAGAGCCTATATGGGTAAACCCTAACATGTAACTGGGCCTCCGGCGGGGTAGGCTCTGGCTTTGGGGGAGGCGAGATGGTGGTTGCTGGACACGTTGGGTTTCGGGGTGAGGGTTTAGGGTTTTGGGGTGAGGGTTTGGCGTCTAGGGTTTAGGGATTTAGGGGTCTAGGGTTTTGGGTTTTCCGTGAACATGGGTCTATGCTGGGTCTTTAGGTAGGGTAGGGGTAATGTAAGAAAGGTTTGAATAATCAGTTTAACCTGTCATAGTATCCCCACATGGCCCCTTCGAAACTTCAATATAACGTACCCAAACACCCAGTTGAAAATCACTAAGGCTCCATAGAGTATGCACGGAGTTGAAAATGTTATTCCCAGAAGTTTCGATCCCTGAACCCGACACGCCAAACCTAAACCCCAACCCTTAGGCTCTAAGGACTCACATATTAAGGCTTTTGGAATACTACATAAGGCTTTTGGGCTATTTTGATCCTGAGGGCAAAAGAACCCGAATAATTTCAGAATTGGGACATCTTGGGCGACTTCGACGTAGTCTTCTGTGGAGACGTGAACCCAGAACCGATAATACGAAAGGAATCCGAAGCCCTTTTGGGTTTCCCCGCCCTTGGCCGGGATGGGGGTTTTAGGGTTTATTAGGGGATAAGAATATGGGAGGTTCCGAAAATCAGGGGAACCTTATCTTGAGGTCTTTATAACAGGATCCTGCTATTTAGGAATCCGAAGCCCTTTAAATTTAGGGCTTAGGGCCCTTGGCCGGGATTGGGGTTTAGGCTTTAGGGGATAATAAATTTGGTTTAGGGTTGAATAGATAAGAATATTGGTTCAGGGTTTAGAGGTTCAGGGTTTGCGGTTTAGGCTTCATCTCAAAGTGAAGACCTGAACATTTCTCCGGGGAAAATTCATATATCAATTTTTATGTTGCTTGAAGCCCATAATCACCTGCGCATAAGCCGCTTTTAACGTCGGCTGCGTAGGCGCGGCGGTCACATTTGCAGGATACGTGGAGCCTCCGTGACTCTTCCTTGAAGTTGTAACCACGCAGTCTTTTGGTAGCTAGTGCTGGTTTAGTGCATCCATAGACCATAGCCAAACGCTTATAGGCAAGCCTTAAAATCAAGTAAACCTAAGTCTACGCACCCGTAAACCGCTAACCCTAAACCCAAAACCCCAACCCGCTAATCGATAAACCACTACTACTACTACTACTACTACTACTACTACTACTACTACTACTACTACTACTACTACTACTACTACTACAACTACTACAACTACTACTACAACAACAACAACTACTACTACTACTACTATTACTACTACTACTACTACTACTACTACTACTACTACTACTACTACTACTACTACTGCTACTACTACTACTGCTACCAAACTCTAAACCCCTAAAGCCTAAACCCTGCGGTAAGATCCTCAATGACTCCTCCATGGTCCCGCAGCTGCGACCGAGTTTTCCATACTTCTGCCATCGGGTCCGAGCGGTCCGAGCAATCCGGAGCAGGGGCAAACCCTAAGGGGCCTTAATGATTAGACTAGGGTTCCCTTAAAGGGATCCTTAAAGGTATCTATGGTAGGGTTCGGTTCTATTACCCTAAGGGTCCATGTACCCATATAGAGATACATGGGCCCCAAAGTACCTATATAGGGGGTACACTAAGGCCAATGTATATACTATATGAGTACATGGACCCTTAGGGAAAGAACGACTTCAGGGTCTCCAAGCCGGGTTTAGGGGGTTTTAGGGTTTAGGCCTTAGGGTTTGTTTGGGGTTTAGGCGGTTTTAGGGTTTAGGCTTCAGGGTTTGTTTAGGGTTTACGCGGTTTTAGGGTTTAGGGTACTGGGGTTTTTAAGGTTTAGGCTTTAGGGGTGTTTAGGTTTCAGGGTGTCAAGCCCCGAACACCGAAGGTTTACCTGTGCCCGACGGTTGTGTCGAGCGGTGCCTCAGAACACCCTCACCCAAACCCCAAACCCTCGACCCCACAAAGCCTGCAACTGACACCAGAGGACCTAAACCCTCGTAGTCATAGTCTTAATATGGGTATGATGACCCCGAAGTGTACACAGCTCCAACAAAACACAAGGAAGCATATCTCGCAGCTTTACGATTCACGACCGGAGTCCACAGCATACTGCAGCCAATCCTTTGATGATTCACTGCATGTGTATGCGCATGCGTGCTTGTATTCATTCAGGCCATTAAACGTGTTGACACGCCCTAGATTTCTTTCCTTCGTTGCGGAATCGAATCGAACCCGATGGCTGAGAGAGCGTCCGCTGCAGCATTTAGCAGGTACAGCTGTCACCCAGACACCCAGGGTGTGGGGTCATCTCTAAACCTACCACCTGAATTATGCCCGAAAGCGCTAAACCCTAAACCCAAGTGCCGTACTTTATGGACCCTTTTAGGGCACCTGCTTTTCTGTATAACAGATCTCAGCCATAGGGCTAGGCCCCCGAATCAGAGGTAGAGCATGACCCTCTTGGTAGGGCATTCGAGTATGGGGTGTGGGGTTTTGGGGTTCAGGATTTAGGATTTAGGGGTTTTCGGTTTTGGGATGTTTGGGGGTTTAGGAATGGGGACATTGGAGTTCATAGAGGGTTCATGATCTAAGGGTTTAGGGTTCTGTCGAGAATAGGTAACCGTGAATCTTTTTGGGGGTATTATAGACCCTAAATATTCCCACAGGGTAACCTTTAGTTCCCCTAGGTTACCGGACAAGCAAGTCAGGGTTTAGTGTTCAGGTTTGCGGTTTCAGGATCTATGAGGCTGAGAAGGCTTGTCGAGCCCCTAAACCCTACTCGCTAACCCCGAAACCCTGAGCCCTAAATCCCAAACCCAAAGTTAAGCCGCCGGGTAGAGGTGCTGTTAAGTTCAGGGTGGTTGAACTTCGAACGTGGAGTTGAAGGTTGGGGAAGCATGGTTCGCCCTCAAAGTTCCATCACCTAAGGTTTCCTTGAGGATTTCCTTCAAGGGTTCCCTTGGAGTTCCTTCAGGGGTCCTTTGTTCCTACACAGTAGAAAGTAGGGAGTATATAGGCAATTTGGGGCCAAAGTATTTGGGTAGTAATCCAAAAAAATGACCCCGAAAGGGACGCTAGTTTGGAGAACTACCCCTATACTATTTGGGCAC